AGAGAGAACACATTAGCTGTCAGAGAAGGGTTTTGTGCAGTTGGATGTCCAGTGAACCACAGCTCTACCTGTGAACAAACAGTAAACTGTGACGGTTTTCCTCCTCATGCTTCCCTCCTGTCTTTTCCTCAGGTTCATCAATGCACGGCGGCGGATTGTTCAGCCCATGGTCGACCAGTCCAACAGAGCAGGTACGTTTTATATTAAATATTGTGATATTTAAGTTCAGACACACACCCGGTAAGTGCAGCAGCAGAAGTGGCGACATGCCTAACCCTCTGTATGTGTGAGCAGTGGAAACACGTCTTTGCATTCAGGATCTTTAAGATTTGGACAAACAAACCTGGAAGAAAAAGGAAACATGGGCGTTGTAGACGTGGAAGATGCTTGTACCGATAAAGCTGCTGTTTGGACTCACAAGTGTCAGGAACGATCACGGTCTCAAACGCTCTGGCGCTGCTCGGACAAGCCGCTGCCTGGACAGTGAAGAAGAAATGTGTCCCAGTCTGATCTGGTCTCTGCTTTGCAGGAACATGAGAAGTTCTCTTTTCAGCCTGCTTGGCTGCCAAACATGAACGGATCTATGTAAAACTAGAAGCATTTGACTCAGCTCGTCCTCAGCTCTGTCGCTTGTTGTTGTTATGACAAGTAGAGTTTCCACCTGTGTAAGAGGCTAAATGCACATCAGTACCTTGGTTTGAGTTGGCGGTTATCACGTGTCTTACCACTGTCACTGTGGTTCACTATTCACATCATATGTTTTGGTTTATAGATCCTATATTTTGACCATTATGTGACAACGCCGAGGCTAATTTTTCGTATAAACCAGTTTCAGAATCTGACTCCAGCTGAGCACACGGCTGTGGACGCTCATCGGAAACCCTGTCCAGGTCCTGTTCGGGGTGATTACATGCACAGAACCAGGATACTCTGACCATGTGTGTGTGGATGTAAACCCACACAGTGAAGACGCAGGCCAAGTCAGACTATGAGATGCTGTAGAGCCTCCCCAGAGATCTGGCCCCTGCTCACTGTGTTAAACTGAGCAGAGAGGTGCAAACTCCATCACTGAATGGGCTCTAAACCCAGCAGGATTAGCTCCAGACAGAGATGCTAATCGCTTTGACTGACCCCTCCACTGACCGTTCTAACCTGGGATTAAAACAGACGCCCAGCTAAAGCAGTGCCACTAGCCTTTAGGCCCCTGTGCTTTGTTAGCATCAACCACGGGGCTGACTTCCACACAGAAGCATCAAGAACCTGTGAAAGGCTTCAGTTCCAGGCAATGGGACTGGTTAGACTGGAAACTCCACTCACTCCCACTGAGGAAGACGGTTCACTCCACAAATTTCCCCATGAGGATGAATCTGTTTCATTTACTGTCATCTCATCAGTGATGAATGGCCCAGCCCCACCCTCCTCCTCCTCCTCCTCCTCCTCCTCCTCCATCAGATGCTAAACCATTTACAGCACAAACAGCTGTAAACACGACAGCAGGCTCGCTGTTCGGTGCAGGAATGTAAGAAAAGATGATTATAAAAGACGACCCACAAGTCACAGTCTGTAAAGACAGCACAACACAGAGTCCAGAACAACGTACGAGGAAGAGGAGGCTGATTTCTTCATAAAGGAACATCTGGTAACACTGCAGGCTCTTAACAGGTGTCCAGGATTTTATTATTATTACCCTGATTACATTTCCTGTCTATGTAAGATGACTGGTTGTGGATGGGATCGTCCTGCAGCTCACAGCGTGGACGCCAGAGTGAGATGATTAACAAGCGTATCTGTGTCTCCGTCCACAGTGAGCCAGGTTTCAGCGTACGGCCCTGATGGTCAGCCAATGGGAGGCTTTGTCGTGGACAGACAGACGCACGTGGGAATCAGACCGCCTGGTAAACACACACACACCAGTTCAAGCCAACTCCCTGTTTGCTGTAATACTGTGTCTGGTAAAGGAGCATGTTTTGTTGTTTTTATCTTCAGAAGATCTGAGGGAGTTAAGGAAACACAGGAAACTAGAATCAAACTAGAGCTCAGCGATTGTATGTGGCCCCATGTTTGCTGATGTGTTTGTGGTGCAGGGCCTGTGGCCGGTGTGGACATGGGGCTGGAGGGACAGTGGCACTACATGTAGCACCAGCAGCAGCGCCGCGCCGCCCGGCCGCCGGAGGAGCGGCCCAGGAAACGCTGTGAGTAGGGTTCCTGCTCTGTGTTTGACCCTGGCTCAGCGTGTCACCCCTAAACTGCCACACATCCACAGGTGTAACTGAAATGTGAGCCACGTGCGCACAAGAATAACACCCAGGTGGTGTGTGCGACGGAGGGGTGGAGGGGTGGAGAAGTGGATGGGTGGAGGTTTGTGGTCAGTCAGGTGGCAACATCACTGGGACCGAGGTCAATTAAAGAGCCTTCAGAAGGAGGTCGCTCTTTCTTTAAGGAGACAATGCACCTGCTGCGATCTGATGCAGCTGCAACACACCCACACACTTGTAGTCAGTTTATTAGGAACACCTGGCTCAAACCGCACCATCGGCCTCCTCCATGTGTCCAGCTGCTGGCAGTGTGGTCCAACAGCTGGCCACATCTGTGTCTCTACAGTTGAAGTCAAACAGTGCTGGTACAGATGTTCCACAGATGTTGCACCTGTCGGCTGCTCTGCTTTCACTCTTCACCTGTAACCCTGTGCTGCTGACATGTCAAAATGGAGGAGATCTGACGCTTGAGGCCAGTGGTGGCAGCCAGTCTGATCCAGCAGTAAACGTCCCTGTTGAAGGTGATCATGTTCAGGCTGCTTTGGTGTTGATTCAGCTGTGAGGTCAATGAACTGCTCTGCTTTATTCTACAGGTGTTTCTGTTGTTTTGTCCATCTGACCCAGCTGTGTTTGATGCAGCCATCACGCAGTCGGACACGAGACTTTCTCCTCTAACACACATTTCTCCTCTTGGTTCTGTTTTGTCTGCAGGACCCTTCCAGCAGGTCTACAGCCCTCCCTGGCTGGACCAGGACCCCAGGCCTCCTCCCCTGTGCTCCCCTCAGCCCCACCCCTCTGGCTACCTGGCCTGATGAGGAAGCACCTCAGGACTTCAGGTCTTCCAGCTGAAGCACAAAGAGGAAGTGCAGACAGATGAGGAAAACCAAACAGCTGTGGTACCTGATCAGGACACAAACATTCAACCTTCTGTTCCTCCTCTGGACTAGAACCACAGAAGTGGCCCATCTGACACCAGCAGACCTGGCTCTCTGGCCGATGAACTCATGAACCTGGTGTCTGGATTTCCTGAGGGCTTCTACTGAAAGAGGACACCTCTGCAGACTGACGGACGGCACTGTGGACGCTCACAGACGAGTCGGTATGAGCGCTCTGCCGCTGCTGTTTGAAGGACGGAGGCCCGGTCCTGGTTCAGCGTTCACACTGTGTGTCTGAGTCACAGACGTCTGTCCTCCCTCAAGCCCCACAAATCTGAGTTCCAAAATAAAACATGAAGCAACTGTGTTCTTCGATTCCTGAGAGTGTGTTATTATGAAGAGACACCTGGTGTGTTTGGCTGCTTGTGTCCAGATGTGAAACAAACTGCTGTGAAGCGCTGACAGGTAAGTACGAGCACAGACGGCAGGCGGGGAGCTGATTAATTATGTTTACTCACGGACTGACCTCGAGGTTCACGTTTCTCCTTCTTCACTTCTCAGACTTTCTGCGCTGTAAAAAGTGTACTATTCCAGCAGCGGCGGTGCCAATAAGACACTTGTATTGATGCCAAATACCCAAATCGTAAAGACGTTTTGTGTAGCTAAATTAGTGCTTGTGCTTTAATTAGACATGAAATCCTGTGAGCAGTTCGTCAGTGTTAACAAAGGAAACTAACCTGTAAAAACCAAGAATTTACCTAAAATCCCACAGTTATTAAACACATCGTTATATTTATAATTACACCAATGTACTGTCAAAGTTGTCCCTGGGGAGACTTGGAGTATTTACTCCTTACGTCTCCCTGATGCAGCCCTGTCTCCTGGACATTACGTCTATAGTTATTCTGCCAAATACATTTTGAAGGAAACGATTTTATAAAATAATCTTTCACAGCCTGGGTTTCTAATGGCTTAACTTTACAGTGTGGTATAGAATAATAAAGTTAATCATCTAATCAGTGCTTTACTAAGTTGTGTGTACTAAGTGCAGCACGTGCCTCTAATGTGTCAGCGCTGGTTTATGGCCCAAAATAAACCAAACCATGAAGAGCCATAAATACCGTGCTAGTCTCCACATGGCCGCGCTCTGCCTTTCCCTTTTCCATTAGTGCTGGCCAACATGGCAGCTGAGCTCAGCTCACATGAATTCACATCAAGTCCGTGCGCTGCAGGAAAAGGCCAAGGAGCTGAGAGGAAACTAGAATCACAGCTGTAGCTCCATCAATGAACAGCCGAGAGCAGCCCAGGCTCTGCAGCCTTCATGCAGGGGAAGTCTGCAGCGCTCCTCGGGCCGCCAGACCGGTCCCCCTCGGACAATTTGCTTCTAAAACCACTTATTACAGGGGGCAGGGAGCTGAGAGAGTGTGGGCGTCCAGCCGGGTGTTCGCCTCCAGGGGCTGGAGTTCAGCAGTGGCAGGAGCCTTCTTCAGAGGAGTTTTACGCTCCTGGTGATGGGGGAGTATTTCTGCAGGTCTGAGAAATCGTGCACCCTCGTCTCCCTCTGAAGTGACTGACAGGCGGCAGCTTCTACTCCCATGTTGCTCCTGGACAAACTTCGTTCATCTCTGCTTTAAAGCTAAACGTGCCTCACTTAAAACTGCAAAAACGAGCAGAGATAAATCCAGCGCATTAGAGGAGGCAGAGAGTCAAAGTGTGGCAGAGGTCAAAGGTCATCATCTGTTTCTGCGATGGTGAATTGAGAGATGAGTTGATTTTAGCAGCTGTGGGGTCGAGGTCCTGCATCTCGGATCTCCAGAGACACAGAAGACAAACTAAAGTGAACTGCCCCTCAGCTTTGTTTTTATTTATGTCAAACAAACCCTCATGATTTAACTCTTTTTAGTTGTTTAATGTCTTTAGTCTTTTTACACCACTGTAGTAATAAAATAATAATTATTATTATTAACATTTGCTGTTCTGTCCATTAGTCCTTTACTGTTCTTGTCATTTAACATCAGTAATGATTTTACATGTCTCTTCAGTCATTTTGTGCGTCTTTGTGCTTGTTTTTCATCTGGTTGTAGTTGTTTGGCCTTCCAACAACAAACAGTTGCTGTGTGTCCGTGCTCCTGACACCCCAAGGTGAACCCCTCTGTTTTGTACTGTATCCCCCGAGTCTCAGACGACTGCAGCAGAGATGTACTGACGGTGACAAACTGGTCGTCAGGAGCAGCGGGTGCTCCCCCGGGGGTCCACCCCCTCTGACTGCACAGGTGACCAGCGTTATCTAAACAAACCCTCATTTAGGCTCATGAACATCAGCCTGAGCAGAACCAAACCCCAGGGAGCTACTCAGCAAAAGACTAACCCCCCCATGTTGACATCTATGGGATGAAGGAGGACAAGAGGGAACGTTGGATAATTTATGACCTTTAATTTAACGCTGCTTCAGGAGGAATTAAATGTTTCCCTGTGTGTGGGGCACCAGGGGAAGGTATTGGGTGTCGCACAGGGGAGGATCATGGTTACCTTCAGACAGGTAGTGAGGTGGGGGTCGGTTTACCCTAGTGGGAAGCATCGACCTGGAAGGACGGGAGGTCAACACTGTGAGCGGGCGCCGTATTATTAGTGGTGTCAGTAGGAGCCGATGTCCACAGCTGCTAATTAGCATAACAATATACCATAAAAACCAATACAATGATATTTAAGAATAAGTTGTATAAACATTTTAACTACATTAGTTTACAGTCCTACCTGATTTCACAGTTAAAGATATATTCACGTTATGAGCTCATTAAATAAATAAATAAACCACACCCTTAATTCGGCTTCAGAGGGGTCCTGACAACAGGAGCCCTGTTGACGGGCTGAACACAGCTGGAGCAGTCAGTCATTTATAGAAACCTACTTCATCTGGGTGGTGTGCACCGCCCCGGCCCTGCAGCCTCGGGTTCTGATCGACACTGGGCTCACACACTGGTTTGTGCCAAAGTTGCAACAGTTTTCGTTATTTCACTTCAGAGATTAGTTGTTTTGATGTGACTTTGCCTCATAACTTAGCGACGTGTCCCAGTGAACATCACTGATTTTTTTTGTGTATATAAGAGAATTACTGCAGTTTTTTCTGGGAACTGAACTGTAGCTTTTATGAACACTACAAATGGAGCCAGTATCAATAGATATGAACACTACAAATGGAGCCAGTATCAATAGATATGAACACTACACACTTTACATATTAACAGAGAAGCGTTTGTGTCATGAATGCTCGAACACAGAGATGAGCGAGCAAAAAAAGGACGGACCCAGATAGCTGGCTTCGGTGCAAAGTGAAACAGTGCAATGAGAAGGGGAGAGGTAGTTAGTGGTAACCAGGTATCGATCAGCGGTAGGAGAAAAAAAAAAGCAGTCTATGGAGTGGTGAATGATGACAGACAAGGCTGTGGACGCTGGGGTCACTCCTGGATAGGTCAGGGTTGAGGTGATGATGACTGCGGAGACAGGAGCATGGAACAAACAATTAAAGGAGACTGTGCATCAACCTGTATGGTGGTGGCTGGGAGAGCTGAGTAGATCCAGGGTCCAGAGAAGCGGTATGTAGAGAGGGGGAAGGAAGCAGCGGGATGTAACAAAGAAGGTAATACTTGATAACAAAAAAGAGAACTATGACTGGCATAAGTAGCACGAGAAACAAAATAGCGAGCATAGGGGCCTGGAGACAGAGAGATTGAACTGGCAGGGGAGTGATCGGTGAGCAGGGTATAAGTAGGGAGGAAACTGATAAGGTGCAGCTGGTGATAATCAAGGGAAGTGGGGCAGGTGTGTTAGAGAGTGTAATCAGGGAAGCAAAACTAGAGTGAGAAAAAAGAAGAGAGGAAGGTGCAGCCGGGCAAACCCGACAGTTTGGCAGTCTTGTCGTGTTTTACTTCACAAATAATGGAAGGAAGCACTTGAAGGTGAAAGTGATGTGTGATTTTAATATTAAAAAGCAAACTATAACCTTGCCTTTGCTAAATTTGATTACATTTCAGCAAGGACATGATTTCTTTTTAAATTACAGCATGTCCTTCATCTACAGAGTAGTAAAAAGGGAGGAAATACTTCAGGTGTTCAGGGACCATAAGTAAAAATCCTGTTGATTTTCTGTTAGGTAATTGGAAGTTGGAACCCTTTATATAGGAAATGTTCAGAGTTTAATCCAAAAAATGAACTGTAACAGACCTGGTTGATCAAATGTAGAGGCTGATAATACTGGACTTTTGAGATGTAAAACATCTGATAACGTTGTTAGATATTAGTAAATCAGTCAGATAATTATTAGACAATGTGTTGAATCAAATGTGTTAGTAATGCAATTGAGTAAGATTCAAAGTCTGCTGTAGTATGCTCTGTTTCAATATTAGCAGTAAGCCATGACACCAATTGTTTTCCTGTATTAATCTTGTGTTGGAATACCAATTGTCTTAGCTACACACCACGTGACAACATACAAACACATTGAACTTCCTCATTTTGTTATGACTAGGTAAGGTAATACACAGCTGCTCCAAGCATGTGGAGCTCTAGATAAGAGATGGAGTCTGCTGGACGGACTTCATCTGTGTGAGGGGTTAGTCCACAACTGATAAATGTATTAGGATCTGGGTTTCCGGGATCTTCTGCTCTCTTCTCCAGCAGCCTGTCTGAAGGAGGGAGCCCTGGGTTGTGTTCTGGAATCCTTTTTATACATATATATGTGTGTGTGTGTGTGTGTGTGTGTGTAAATAAACCAGCACTAACATCAAGAAAGACGGACTCCTTCCTTACTCAGATCTGTCCAGTAAAAGAACTGGGGTATAACAGTACACACCACGATCCCAGTGGGATGTGACGCACGAATCCTTCCTTTGGGGAAGCGCTGAGCTGCTGACAGTTTCATAAACAG